AAACTTTTTATAATTAATTTTTACCTTATATTAATTCCATAAAAATATTTAAAAAGCAGCTAAAAAGCTTTTTAAAAAGGTTTGCTTTGCGCTTAAAAACTCTTTTAAATAAAAGCATGTTAAGTTTAGCTTAGTTGCATTATAGCAGCGTTATAAGAAAGAAATAATAAAATTTCTTACTTAATTTAATTAATTAATTTATATAATAAAGATTTAAAATTAATTTAATAAGTATAAAATATTATTAATAATTAATAACTTAATCTTTATAACAAGAGCTTAGCTTAATTATAAAAAGTAGCTAAATATATTTAAAACCTTTTATTTTACTTTATAATAATATAAAAGCATTTTTAGCGTTATAGCAAAAGAAAATAATACTTAACCTTAAAATAATAAAGTAATAAATATTAATATTATAATGGTTTTAATAAATAAAGTTAAGTATTTTATATATAGCTAGCTTAGTTATTATAAGCATAATTATTTTAATTATTGCAAGAAAATAAAAATATAGCTTTTATTAATTAAGATTAATAAAGGGAAGGAGTTTATTTAAGGGGGTATAAAATTTTTTTATAAGGTAGGGCTTAAAAGCAATGCTAGCTTAATGCTAGCCTAAGCTTATAATAAGCTAGCTATATGTTAGTTAATTTAGTGCTATAAAATACTTAAAATTTAAGAATTTTTCGTTAATAAAGCAAATTACTTGCAATTAAGCATTAATTAATTGCAAATTATATAATAAATTTATAATTTTAAAGTTTTAAGTAAGGAAGCTTATATAAAAGGCTTGCATTAAAAGATTATAAAAATATTATTAATTTAATTATTAGCTTATGCTTAAATAATTATTTTTTATTAGCTTATTTTAATTAATATATTAAATTATAAGGGCTAAAGGCGTATTAATTATAGAAAATAAGCTGGGCCTTTAATGTATTTAAAAGGCGCTAAGGTATAATTAAATAGCTAAGCAAAGGATAATATTTAATTTATAATTAAATTATAATATCCTTTATTTTTATTATATAGCTATTTTTTAAGGCTTATATAAAAACTTAAAGAAAAAAGATATATTATAAATTAAGCTTTACTTATTATAATTAATTAATGGGCTTTAGCCTTATAGAAATAAGCTTTAACGTAAATATAAATAGGGAGTAAATCTCTTCCTTTGCACTTTAAATATAAACCTTATTTAAGCACCTTATGGTAAACAACCCAAGGCTAGCCCATAATAAGCTCTTTAATAACTATAAAGATAATTAAACTTAATTTTAAGGGTAAGTTATAAGTTTATAAAACATTAAGCTTAATACTTATTAATAAGTTTAATATTAAATAATATTAATAAAAAGTTAATTATATTTTTTATATTAAAAAGTTATAAAGGGAGTTCTTAAGCATTTTATTTAATAATATATTAAATAAGTATTTACTTTTTAACTTAATTAAGTTTATATATATTAATATATAATTCTTTATAAAAGCATTATTAATTTATTTTATAATATAATATAATTTTAAATATATTAAAGATTTATATAGCTTTTTATACTTTTAAAAGTTTTTTATTAAGTTTTTTAAATTAAGTAATTATTTAAATAGTTAAAATAATTTTATTTTTTTTAAATAATAAATATATTTAAAGTTATTAATTTTTAATGCATTAAATATTTAAGTAAGTAAATTAAAGTAAAATTAACGTAAAATATTAAAATGTAATTTATATTAAAATAAGCCGGCCTTATTAAAACCTTAAAACTTTAAATAATATTATACCTTTTTTAACCCCTTTAAATTAATTAAATTAATTAAAAATAAGGTTATTAAAGTAATTAGCATTAATTAATGCTAACTTTTATTAAATTAATTATATTAAATAAATATTAATATTAATAAAAGTTAAGTAAAGTTATAAAAAATAGCTATTTATTAATATTAGCTACTTATTAATAAACTATATTATAAAAATAATAAAATTATTATTATTAATATATTATAATATTTAAGTTTTTTCTTATATTTAAAATAATTTATAATAAAGGTTTTATAATAAAAAATATTAAATTTATATTTAAAAAAGTTAAAACTTTTCTTAAAACTTTAATTTTATTATTTTTAAGCTTAATATTTTATATAAACTTTAATATATTTTTTTAAATTTTTTTTTAAAGTTAAAAACTTTTAAAAAAATTTAAATATTTAATAAAATATTTAATAATTAAGTTTTATTAAAAGCAAGATTTTTATTTATTAAAATAGCTTTTTTATATTAATTATAAAAATTATTAATTAATTAATAAAAAGTATATAAATAATAATATACTTATTTATTATAATAAATAAGTAAATACATATACTTTAAAATATTATTATAATATTAATTAAATATTTTAAGATTAAAACAATTTAAATATAATTTAAATAAATATTTATAATTAAGGGATTTTAAGCTTTTATTTAAAAAAAATATAAAAAAGGCTAATTAATAAAATAAATAATAATGTTAAAAAGTTAATTTATAATAAATTAATTAAATAATAATATAATAATTATAATAAAATTAAATATAATATATAAACTTATAAAAAAAATATAAAAGCTTTTAATTAATTATATTTTAAATAAAATTAATTATTTTATTTAATATTAATTAATATTAAATTTAATTAATTTCTTTATATTAAATAAATATTAAAGTTAATTAAAGTTAATAAATATTATAAAAATATATTATTAATTAATAAATTTTATTTATTAATATTATTAATATAATTAATTAAGTTTTTTTATATTAATTTTATATTATTAATAATTTATATAAAAAATTAATAATTAAGTTTAAAAATTAATAAAAAAATAAAAATTATTAATATTAAATATATATAAAAAATATAATTTAAAATATAACTTAAATATTTTATATATTTTATTTAACTTTAATATAATTATTTAAGCTAATAATTCCCAGGGTTTTAAATTAATTATTTAAATATTATTTTAATAAGCTTGCCTTATTTATAACTTTAAAAGCCGCAAGCCTTATAATTAAAATAAACATTATATAAGCATAGGCGTGAGTAAGGAATGTAAGATGCAAAACACCTGGGCAGCGGGGTGAAATAGGGGGTGTTGGGTGGTATACTTAACAGGCTTTAATTTTGTTAGTTTAACATGAAGTGGGTGTGGGTGGAGAAGTAGAGAACATTAACTTGCACTTAAATTCTGTGAAAAAAGAAATCCTATTACTTTCTCTCCATAAATATCCAAAGAAAAGAGGGTATTTTAAAGGGTTAGGTAGGCAGGCAATTTAATCCAGCCTAATAGCGAGGGGGAGTGGATGCTCATGCCGAACTAACAAAATTATAGCCTGTCGAGTGTAGACAGGCTGGCAGGCGGTGTCCAGCCCCCCCCCCCAGTCCAATTTCGGATTGCAAGGCGATGCAAGGCAATGCAAGGCAAGGCTTGGGCAAAAATATTGGGGAATAGCGGCAGGGCGCTGAAATAAACCAGCTTAAGCAAACATTTTAATTATCATGCAAGGCAGCCTTATGGGCCGCCGCCAAGGGCTACGAGGTTGCAAGCCACATCATACACGCCTAAATAGGCGCACAGGATTGAGCACTAGCCAAAATAAAACAATAAGGTTAGAGGCCATTTAGGGCATCTAGTGCCAGTGTGCTGAGGGCGTTCCTCGGAGGAGTGCCACGAGGCTGCAGGACTTGCGTGTGTTAGCAGAGAGTCGGCGGGATAACGGAGGGGAGCGGGCGGCGGACGACAGAAACGGAGGGATACTAACGGCGGTTGAGTTATAAGTACGTTCTCGGACTAACGCCTCATCGAAAACGTGCCACAATTCTTTCGTAGTATAGTGGTTAGTATGCAAGCTTGTCATCGCCACCAGGAAGCAGCAACGCTTGAGACCCGGGTTCAATTCCCGGCGAGAGAGAAGAAATTGCATCAACCAATTTTTTTTTTGGAAACTGCTTTAAAAGCGTCCCCAAAATAGGCGAAACGTGCTCGGAACCTTTCCGGGATGCCCGTGTGAATTTGCTGTCGGAAATCCCTATGGATCTAGATTTTTCTTTTCTTTTTTCAATAATATAGAGATTTACACTTTGTAAGAGCAGAGCGTATACTGGTACAGCACCAGCAGTAAACCACATGAGAATACACATACTTAACACCCACTGTAAGGGCGTGGGCGCTAGACTTATGCTAGGCTAGCAGGCAGGGGGTAAATATATGAGTGTTAGGAATATAGGCATTAGGTGCATGAGTGTTAGGTGTAAGGGTGGTGGGTGTGTGAATTAGGCCTGGGTGATGTGTTCTGGTTAGCTATAGTTTATGGCGTGAGTTGATACACCGGTGTACCCTCCGTTTTCGCAGGTGCGAATCTCCGTATTTTTATTTTTTTTTTATTTTTTTTTAGCTAACTAGCTAGGGTTTCTTTTATACGGAAAGCTCGCGCAGTAAGGTGACAGCTAAGCTATTTGCGTGTCATGTGTCCCTGTAGACACAGGTTCCCAAGATCAATGTCTCATGACCAAATGAGGCACGCGGCCTAGCACCGCGGTGCACTTCACTGATTGCCATTAGCAGTCCCTCGGAGAGGCGCTTGGCTGACTGTCCGACACGAGATCTACCACCTTTCTTGTTTACAGCACTCACGATCCGCACCATTGACTTGCTCCTGCAGCTCCGCTTTTCCACTTGCGTGCCCGTCCGATTCCCCGTCCAGCTTCGTGTTGTCCAGCTTCATGTTGTCCAGCCTGCAGAAGCATGACGACTCGATCAGGATATCAGCTGAGGCAGAAGCGACGGTGAGCTGCTTCTTGGTAATATTCGCCTCCGCCGTCCGGCCAAGCCGCACGAGGCATTCGTGGTAGCTATGTAGGGCCCAGACATTGTTGGGGTTGCTCCAGGGACAGGGCCGCGTAAGGGTGCCGGGTGGGAAGCATCCAGCCCCAAGGCTCCGCGTACCCCAGGCCGTCCTAGCGCGCCATAGCGAGCCTTGGGCTGTCGAACGCGACCTTGTAGTTGCCGCGTCGGCACTCGACCTCCCCGTCCAGCATGGCCGAGGCCACCGCGAGGATGGCCGATGCCTTGTTGGGGAACACGAGCCTGCTGTCCGGCACCCGCTTGACTGCTGCCCGGAACAGTACCAGCTGCTTGTCAGCCTCCTGGATGTCGCCAGTGGCGGCGTAGGCGATGCCTCTTCCGTAGTAGACGGTGGCAACCGTCACGCAGTACAGCTCTTTGTTCTCGGGGACGAGCAGCTTCTTCAGCTCGTCCCACCTTCCGAAGCGGATCAGAATGTGCACCCGGACGGACTTGAAAAACTCAGGCCAAGACGCCATGGGAGGCGACTGCATAAGGAGCATGCTTTCGCTGACGGTGGCCTCCATCCGATCAGCCGAGTCGAGAGCCGCCCTTGAGTTACCGGCCAGCATCGCGCCGTAGATCAGAGAGTGGTAGTCGTGCATGCGGTACAACAAGTAAAAGTTCTCTCCCCCTTCTCGTGCATAGTACTTGTCGTCCGCGATTGTAGCCCTCAGGTTGGTGTGGAGGGCCCGTCGATAGTCTCCGACCAGGACGTCGATGTGGCTGGGCATGTGGTGAAGTCTGAGAGGGGCTCTCTGCTGGGGAAGCGGTGCTGGAGCGCGCCGATGAGGGCCTTTTCGGCTGGTGAAGCACCGGACGCCAGCTGGGTCGCCTTCTGAGAGTACTCGTAGCACTTGGCGACCGATCGTCTAAGGTCCTTTGGGTCGAAGGCCATCCAGACCTTGTTGTAGTTGGGGCCTAAGGCGTAGGCGACGCCCCAATGGCCAATGGCGCAATTGGGATCGTGCTTGATGACCTGCTCAAAGCACGCGGCTGCCTCTCTGTGGTTGAAGGCGTAGGCCCAGACGAGCCCTCGGTTGAACCAGTCCTGAGCATCGCTCGACGTGGTGCTGATGGTTCGTCCATGGTCACCCAGATCGCAATATGGGTTGCTAGCGGGGACCTTGGCGGCTGATTCCAAGCTGACTGCCATGTTGGTAGGGTGCGAGGGTGCTCCTTCACAATCAGAATCAGGATGGGTTACAAAAAGAACATAGAGGTGGGTGGCCACACTCCCAGACTGTAGACCATACGGAGTGGGTTAGTTTTTATATGTATTAGCAATAGCTTCCACTGGTTGTCGCATATATTCAATGTATTATAACATAGCCCTTCTACCTGGGATTGTTTTGACTCAACGCTCTCTAAAGTTAGAGCCCGAATGCGCATCCGTGCTCCACGCTGGAACTGGCCGAGGGCCTCCACGATGGTGTCTCCACATTTGGCATATTGGTCCGCAGGTCAATACGGGCGCAAGCACTTTACACTCTGGAGGGAATATCCAATATCTTGTTATGATTTCGGTATGGGAATTCATTGGCCCTGAGGAATACTCGCTTTTACCAATGTTTCCGTCGGGGCAAAGTAGCTAGACTGCTGTCGCACGCTTAGGTCCTTCACCACAATCGGCCTATAGTAATATTCCCCCTTGCCCACGGGACTGACATGTAAAGTATGAAGGCCGCTCGCCATTTGGGGCGCAATGCCCTCGCTGGGTGTTGAGCGAGGGGCAACGTCGGCAACCAACACAATGCTATTGCTCTCCTTTTCACCAGTGGACCCGGGACTCAAATAAGCCAGGTCCTCTATATACGGTCATGCGCTTGTCCAACAGTCTTACGAATCTATCGTAGCATCACAGAGGCCCGGTGAACCTAGCCTGAAGGTTCCGCCCCTGAAAACACGAGCACCCACGAAAGATATCGAGCCAGGCCGAGAGTTCCACAACTTTGACTTCTCCGGACGAGGAGGCCCAACGAAGTCCATGCCCATCCTGAGCCGCCGCAGACGGGAGCTACGGGTGGGTTATCATGACATCTGTTGCCGTCATCAACGGCCATTCGTGGGGTATCCGCGCTGCATACTCTATTTTTTTACTTATTTCTTTTATTTTTTAGCCCACTACTTAAGATCCGGCACACACCCCGGGGCCACATGTCTCATGTACGCTATGATCGGCCGCATCAACATCACCCTCTTGATGACCTTCGTGGCCGGCCGTCTTCTCGCTCGTCATCTGGACAAACGCCAAGGCTTTTGGAGTGCTGATCCTATTCGCCCTCATCGTTGGTCTCACCGCAGGTGTATTCTGGGTCAGCGCCGCGCACGTCACTGTGGAGATCATGGGCATGCAGAATCTCTCATCCGGCTTGAGTATCCTCTGGCTGGTAATAGCCGCCCCTTGCACATTCAGCGCGCCTATCGCATTGCAGATCTACGCCGGCACTGGCAGCTACCTTGGCGCACAACTTTTTGCTGGCTTCATGTTCGTCGCTTCGGCTCTGTGCATGTTCGTTCTTCGCGGTGGAAGGTGGCCCGAGGGAGGAACGATGGTGGGAGTATCATGTTCTCTGGAGGGTCTGGCGACGGGAAGACGCATCCCCGACAAAGTATATCATGGGCGTGCCGCTGTTTCAAATTAGAGGTGGTCTAATGGGGTACGACATCTTTAGGGCTGAATCATGTCCTTCAAACTAAGTACTTTCTCTCAAGCATTCAACAACAGATACACAATTACCTGCTACCGCTCACAGCAGGAGATGACATGATGAAAGTCAGCTGAATTCAACCAAAACCCTCATTGCGCATTATAGAATATATATATGCCGTTTCTCAATCAACCAGGGATTTCCTGTGCCGAAAAATAACCAATAGCCCTAGTGTCTTTACTAATCCCCTTGCGCGTTTGGCCGCCACAAACAGCCATTGGTTCAACTAAATGTGAGGTCACCTGCACAAGAACTTCGTGTATCTGGGCATTCATTGCTAGCCAGGTTCAATTGTTCAGAATCAAAACAACCATAACCCATGTCTAGCCAGACGCCAAAGTCAGGACAGCCAGCATCCTCAGCTCCCCACCATTCATCAGAGGAACTTCTCTGATCGACCGCCCCTTGGGCTTCGTTTAAATCCGACCTGTTCGTAATTACTTGAACCTGGCAAGCCAGGAAGCGAGCAAGATCGAGGTACAGGTGACCCACTGATTTTGTTGGAAGCAATTTCACAACACGTTCTAGGCGATCCGGGATCGCGAGCACTTTTCCGGCGGCTTCGGACACTTCTGCTGCTGTCAACCCGCCTCGTTGGATAGCCTGGTGCCAAGCGTCAGCCGTCGAATTGTCCTCCTGTTACCAACAATAGCACTCAAGACCTACGCGCAAGATCTCCGTGGCTGCATGGCAGATCATGATGTACTGGTTATTGTGAAGACCCAGCAACAGCTCAGACATGGTTCGGTCTGTCAGCACGAGGTCGAGGGTCCGAGTCGCGACCTCGAGGGTCTTAGGCGAAATCGTCAAGGTCACAGCGGATGTGTTGGGCTCGTTGACAGTGGTGATATCTCTTGGAGCCTGGGCGTGAAGGACCAAGAGGCTGTGGTCCATGTAGAAAGCCAGAATGGGGAGGTGTTCCGCGATTGTGGCGGGTCTATCGATCCCTATCTCCCTTGCCAGCTGTACAGCCTGCCAGAATCACCAGTCTTAATATCCTGGTACTTCCTACACGGGTATGGCATGTACTCACGTATACCAAATACAACCAGTAAGGATCGTCGGACTGCCGGGGCGAGATAGGAGCCCAGAACTGCATGTTGATGATGGCCTGGATGACCTCTAACGGTTTGACGGATGCTGCGACGCACCAACTTATGTTGCCAGTGGCCAATGATAACAGCACCGGGTGCAGGGCTCGGTCACGAGGGTTCAGCGAAACAGCACACCCGAGGGCACAAACGACGGAGGATAGGGTGAAGGACACCGAGTAAACATATTCTGGCGTGTGCAGTGTCTCGTCCAAGAGGCCAACGAATGCGTTGCGCATCTTGAGGAAGCTGAAGGGCGATGTCTTGGTCTATGGCGTCGCTGCGTTCAGTTTGCGGCAGTAGCACACGCAGCCCTCGGTCCCACTTGGGCGTCACAGCGACATTGTGTTACACGCGATTGGCTGCTCTCGCGTCCTCTGCCCTTTTGCGTGCAAACACCCGTCACCGTCTCAGAATCTCTCAGTAGTCCTGTGGCCAAAACGAAACAGGACCTTTTCACCCAATGGCCTGCGGTAATTACCAGTATCTACTAGTCTACTGGATCCCCAGCGTCAGCTCGTGGCCTAGCCCACACGCTCCTGTCATGGTTTGACCATACTGTAAAGATAGTACAACCCGAAGGGGGCAGACGTCTGGAACTCATAGTGATGGTTGGATTTTGCTACGATAGTCTGTACAGAACTGTGCAAAAGCGCTTTTCACACACGACAGGGATGATGATGCCACCACTCCAGCTGTTGGGATGCTAGCAGTAACTAACATTACCTAGGGACCGGCGTGGACAAGGCCTCCTGAAATTATAGCATTGTTCTGAGAACAGATGAATGCATTGTCTCTCCATACGGCCGGGGCGCCGCCTTGTTCATATCAAGGCTGATCTCTTTTGAAAGACTCCGGCCCGCGGAAGTGAGCTTGTGTTGAAGGCTCATGACGTAACTGAAATACCAAGCGTCGCTGCAACTGTCAAGAGGAGGCCGTTACTTGACGAGAACATCCAATCCTCGTAGAACACTCCTGGATCAATACGGGAGCGGTCTCAGGCCTGAACGAATAGGGCTCCTAGGCAGTATAGGATTTCCAACAGGCGGTGGAAATCATTGCCAAATAGGGAATGAGATGTTTTAGCTTGCGTTCAGTATCTTCTCGGAATTTCTTTGTGCTGTTATGGGTTGAAATTGCTCTTGTATAATCGTTGTTCGAAGCCGACCAGTTGGTACTGGACTTTGAATGGTTTCCAGCCTTGTAACACGATATCCGGGTCCTGCCACAATATTCATTATTGCCGTTTCTTTGCAACCATGTCTATTAGAAGCATCTCGGTTAATTACTGTAATAACGCCATCTTCCAGGCGTGATACTGTTGTTATGTTAAATGAGACCTTCGTTGCTAACAGCGCCCCTGATGCACGATTTTCAGTCCCAACATTGCTATGTGAACGAGCTTGATGCAACGAAAGGAATTCGGGTGAGACTCCACGAGTCTACAACAAATTGTCACCTAAAGGCCCGCTGCGAAGGATCTTGAGCACTCCTGACGAGACCATAGCTCGCAATATGAGAAGCATGTTGCACGCACATCCCTAACCCTGGTTTGCAACCACTTTTTAAAGTGCTTAAATAGCTAGATTTCTTTTATTTCCTCCCTTTATATTACTCTTAAGAAATAAACGCTTTTATAATTATACTTTTAAACCCTTATAATACTTATAACTTTTTATAATTATAAGCTTAATTTATATAAAATTATCTTTTTTTTATAAGTTATAAATAAATTATATAAAGTATATTTTAATTATATTTATTTTATATTATTTATTTCCTATTAATTTTAAATATATATTTATATAATAATTATAAATGCTTTTTTTAAATTTTATTAATTAAGTAATTTATTTAAATATTTATTTTTTTCTTATTTAATTTATTATTATATAATTTTATTATTAAATTAAGGGGTTTTAAGAATTTATAAATATTAATGTATAAAATATAGCCCTTATTAAATAATTAAATATAATTTTAAAATTAAAGTTTTAATTTATATAATATAAAAAAAAAGAAAATATTTAAAAAGCTTTATATAATAAATATTAATAAGTATTATATATATAAAGAATAAAGGTAATAATAATTAATTATTATATAAATAATTAATTTAATTATAATATAAAAAGTAAGTTATAATAAAGTTATAACCTTTTCTTATTTAATTATAAGCTAGCTAAAGTAATTTATATATAAAACATATAATTACCAGCTAATAACTAGCTAGCATTAGCTAATAATTATTATTAATAAAATTAATTTAAACTTTATATCTTTAAATTTATGCATTACTTATAATATATTTATTATATAAACACGTTATACATAATGCTTATATATATTATTTTTATATTAATAGTTTTTTTTATATATATATATATGCTTTAAAATTATGCTTTTCTTTATAAATTATTTGCTTTAAGCTATTTAAATTATTTATTAAGTTAATAAAAATAAGTTATTAAATTATTAAGGCAATACTTTAAAGTATTTATAATTATTTAAAGAAAGTACTTAAATTACTTAATTTAAATAATTTAATTATTAATACTTTAAAACTTTAAAGTATTTAAATATTATGCTTTAATTAATTAATTATTACTTTAATAGCTTCTTTTTTATAATTAATGCCAAACGCCATTCTTATAACTAATAATAAACGTTACTTTTATATAATAAAAAGCATTACTTTTATTTAATAGCAAGTTACTTTTGCTTAATAACAAGTATTACTATTATTAAAATTATTATTATTAAGGTAAATCTTATAATAATTAATTATAAAGTAAAAAAGAAAGGAAAAATATTATTATATTACACTTATAAATTAATAATTAATTCTTAAATTATTTATTTATAAATAATAACATTTAAATATTATTATTGCTTAGTAAATTAACCTTTATTAGCTTTAAAGTAATTTAAATTTAAGATTTTATTAAAAAGCATTAATAAGGAAAATAAAGAATATATTATAAAAAGAAAAGTTATGCTTATTAATTAAATAAGTTAACTTTTATTAAAAGGTAAATATTTTAAAGGTTTAATTAAGTTATTTATATAATTAAATTAATAATAAATCTTAATTAATGTTTTTAATAATTTTAAGCTAATTAAGTTAATAAAAGAGTTGCATTAATTGCTTATTTATTAATATTTTAAAGTATTAAATTAAGCATATTAATTAAATATATAAATTGCTTAAAAGAAACGTTATTTATTAATATTTTAAAGTGCTTAAAGTGTTTATTTCATTAGGTGCTTAAGGGTTTTTAAAGGGTTATAAGCTTTAAGGGTGTTATATAAATGCCTTAAGGGGTATTAATTGCAAATAAGGGCTTTTTAAGGGTGCTAAGCAAGGGCTTCTTAAGGGTGCCAAGTAAGGGGTTCTTAAAGTTGCCACTTAAGGGCTTCTTATAAGTCTTTTAAAGTTACGCAAAGGTCTTATATAATTACGTTTGCTTATAAAGGTTATAAAGGCTTAAGGGTATATTAATTATAAGCATAAGGGCATTAATAATTAAAAGTATTATAAGGGGGCTTTTAAGGGTTTTTTATTATTATATAAGGGTTTTATATAATTATATTTAGCTAAAAAAGTTATAATTAATTAAGGATATATTAAAAAAAGTTTTTAATTAAAGCTTATTATAATTATTATTATTATTAATAATTTATATAATAAAATACATTATTTAATTAATAAATTTAAGGTATTATTAAAAATATATTAATTAATAAATTAAATTTTTATAATAAAAAAATTAAAGTATTATTAATTTCTTTCCATTAATTTTAATTTTAATATAATTATTAACACTTAATTAAGCAAGTCTTTATTATTAATAATTACTTATCTTTATAATGCTAATATTAATTATTTAATATAAATATTAAAACTTAAAACGGTTTTTATTATTAATAATTATTGCTTAATTAATTATAATAAAGGTTTATTATTTTATTTAATTATTTATTATAATTATTATAATTAATAATTAATTAATTTAATTATAATATAAAAAGTAAATTATAAAAAAGTTATAATCTTTTTTTATTTAATTATAAGCTAGTTAAAATAGTTTATATATAAAGTTTATAATTATTAATTAATAATTAATTAATATTAATTAATAGCTATTATTAATAAAATTAATTTAAATCATATACCTTTAAATTAATATATTACTTATAATATACTTATTATATAAGCATATTATATATAATGCTTATATATATTATTTTTATAATAAATATTAAAAATATTTAAATAAAGATAAGCTTTTAAAAGATAAAATAATATTCATTTTATTTTATTTTTTATTTTTTAATAAATTAAAAAAGAAATATAATTAACATTTTTAATAATAAATTATTTTAACTTTTAATAAAGCAATTAAATTTAATAAAAAATAAAAGATTTAAAAATAAATATAAAAAATAATATTTAGCTAAACTTTTTTCTTATATTTAATTAAAATAATAAATATAAGATAGTTTTTTATTTAATAAATAATTTAAAATATTAAAAATAACCTTATACCCTTTAAATTAAGTATAATAAATATCTTTTAAACTTAATATTAATAATATTTAAAAAAAGCAAAGAAATTAAATATTAAATTATAATATTAATATTAAAATTTTATAAATTTATATTTATAAGCTTATATTTATAAGTTATTTAAATTTAAAAGATTTATTAATTTAAATAACTTCTTATAAATAATTATAATATATATTATCTTTAATTAAGTAATTTTTAAATATTAAAAATTTATTAAATAAAATATATTAAGAAAATTAATTTATTTCTTAAAAACTTTATTTAAAGAATTAATAATATTTTTATATTATAATAAGCTTATATTAATATTTAAAAATATTATAATACTTATTATATTAAGATTAAAAGTAATTTTTAAAATAAAAAATAATTAATTAAGAAAGTAATTAAGAAATAAAAATATTTAAATATCTTTATTAAAAAACTAATTAATAAAAAAATATATACAACCTTTTATTAATTATTATTATCTTTATTTTATATTTTTAAGAAAATAATATTTAAAATTAAAAATACTTTTAAGGAAATTTAAATATAATAAAATTAATATATAATTATAAAAAAAGTATTATAAAAACTTAATTTAAAAGTTTATTTAAAAAGATTTTTATTTAAAGATTAAATATAAAGCTTATTAAAAATATTAAAAACTTTTTAAGAGCATTT